TACCCATAGCGGGAGGTACAGCACAACAACCAGGTTTACTGAGGCAGTCTGGTTTGTTTTCAGTCTTTAGCTGTGACTTCTGTTCTTACTGGAGGACTTAAAATCAAGACAGTTGTATATGTAAGAAAGCAGCAAGAAAATCTTGTCCAGAACTCAGACTTGGTAAAAGAACAGCGAAGGCACAAAAGTTTGTTGCAGCTAAAGGGAGAATGGAAGTTTGAGGAAATGACAATAATGCAGTTGGGCTGCTCCCTTTAGCTTGAGTCCTTTGAGTTTCTTTGTTTTCATTTTGCTTCACAAGAAGGGCAGAATCCTAAAATATGAAGAATCAGATGTAGCTCCAACAGGCAGAACTAAACCTAGGACTTCTGGAACTTAGTGCATGAGCCTCTACTGCTTGAGCTAAAAGCCAGCTAGGTCTCAGCTAAGGCTGTAGTTCACACCCATTTTTTCTCTCTAAGGCTGTCTACACTATGGAGTTTTATCCCAGGAAAAAGTCTGCTGCGTCTAGGGATTGCATCTGTTTTTGGAATCCCTGTAAACCTTGTATTATGAGGAAGAAGAGATGTTCTGAAAAGGGTTTTTTCCGACATTTGGCCCAGTGTAGATGGGCCAAATGTTGGAAAAGCCTCTTCCGAAAAAAGCAGAAAAAGCTATGCAAATTGCGGTTTGCAATTTTGCATAGCTTTTTCCGGAAGAACAGTATAGTGTAGACATAGCCTAAGTGGGCTAAGTACCACTACATGGGACAGTACACCACATGCAGAAGGGGTGTGGATTACACAGACTTTAAAAAATAAAATTAGTAAACCTGCCCAAAATTTGCTGGGGTAAGAAGCCCATTGAGCCCCTCAGTGAAGATAAAAATTCAGCATGAAGGTTACTTGAGTGCAGTACCATGCTGGCATTGTAATCCTGCCCACTTTTAACACAGTTGTTACATTTTTGAAGCATGTCTCACAGCTAATTTTTATCTTAATTACTGCAGCCACCTCCTGATAGCTCCCTTCCCTCAAATCCCTTCTGCCTCCAGGTCAGCCAAAGCCACAGTGTCATGGTCTCCCTCTCCTGCGTCTCTGAGCATGTCTCCTTTTTCCTGAGTGCCTGCACAGATTCTCCTTGCCCACTCCACCAAGTTCATCCCCTGACTCTATTCCTCAGCTTCATGTTGGAAGCACTGGAAGACCAGGACTCATGCTAAAACAGTTCCCCCTCCCACCTGTGCTCCATCCAGCCCCTCCTGGCAGCTTTCATGTAGTCCTCTGTGCTAGGAACAGTCTGAATTGTTGAATGACCACAAATAAATAATCCTCCTCAAAACTCCTTAGAAATCAGCTGCTACATGATACAGTCCAGCTGTAGTGAGCATAGAAACTTTTGTGTTCTCATTCTTCCTCCCTGAGGCAGTGTGCCATGTAGTGGTACTTAGCCCACTGTAACTAATGATGGCCAGTAGGCAGACTGTGGGTCTGCAATGGGGGTCTTATGCTGCAGCACATTCTGCTGGTCACTCCAAGAGTTACATCTGCCCTTGGCAGGGCACCTTTTGGCCAGTGTTTCACCCATCATTACTCTGTGCACTCACCATGCTCTAGCTCTGCACCTGCATTGCTCCCTGGACTGCAGCATTCGTTTTGGGGCACTTGTCCAGCAGTGCCCACTGCTCAAACTCTCACCCCCTTCTGGGGGTATCAACAGCCCTCAGTCTCACTTGCCACCATGGCCAACTGCAGCCAAGGTCTAGCCCCTCATCTCGGGCAACCTGCAGCCTGCATAGGCTATGCTCCCGTGGTGACTAGGTGCAGAAGAGGTGTGGCGGGGGGGCAGGCCTGCCCATTACTCTGTGTCCCAGCTCAGGGGCCCTCTGGCCACAGCTTTGTCCTGCCCTCCTTTACTCCCCTCTACTACCTCTCGCTTCTTGGGTGCCTTCCTCATGACTCCTTGCACCTCCTTGGCTCCTGTATCAAGGCCTACAGCCTGGCAGGTATCAGGCTGGAGCCTCTCTAGCTCTTCTGAGCCTTCCCAGCACTGTTCTATCCAAGGTACTTCCTCTCAGGGAACCAGTCCTGCACTCTCCCTGGTTAGGACCCAACTGCTCACTGCTCTGCTGATGAATTCCTTATAAACAGGGATGCCCCAGCAAGCTGCTCTCTGATTGGCTTCCCTAGGAGCCCTTTCCTCATTGTCTGGGGCTGCGCACAAGCTCCTTTCAGCCTGCTTTAACCCCTTCTGGCCAGAATGGGGAAGCTGCCCTACTACAGGGTCAAATCATGACTGCCAGATGCTTTAGAATGGACCCTACAGTCTTTTTATTTACCCATTATTATTCTTATTTGGCTCTTCCATTATTTTCTCTAGAGTCAGGACCTGTCTCTATCAACCAAGAAATTTTGGACCTTGCAAAAATTGACTTCCCTGCTCTAAACTCTTAAGGGACTTAGCTGGCAAAATTGACCGATTCTACAGAGTACATGTACCAAATCACATAACGGAAAAAGGGACTCTTGCATCTCACAGTCTGCTAGATACTTGGATAGGATCTGAGTGAAATCATTGTGTTATGTCTGATGTTTTATTTGTTACGTGTTGATTACATCTCTCTCTCTCAATATCCTTGGGGTTCTGTTCTGAACTATTCCTTTGTCACGTGTGCTTTTATTTTAAGATTTGTCTCTGGCTTATAAGACCTGCTCTAAGGAAAATATTCATGTTAGTCATTTGTATACAGCTTCAACAGCTTTTGTTTAAAAATTAGACTGTCAACCTCTCTCCTTGTTTTCTTTCTGTACAGCTCATTAAGTAAAATAAATAAAAATAGAGGGAAACAAAGCCAACTGTGCTTGCACCGTGTCACAAAAAGATGGCTTGGATTTTGTAATATTAAAAATGGAAGCTTCTTGCTCTTCTGTGTGCCGTGAAGCAGCCACGCAAATAGGAAAAATTAACATCTCTCTTATTCCCTACCCGCCAGCCTAATCCAATTTCTTAATGAACATAGATCTCACACTTTTGTCTTGGTGAATGACAGTGTTGCTAGATAGGGTTTAGAACAGAGACATTAGCTTCAGTTTGTGTCTTTGCCACAAATGCTGCATTGTTGCTTTTTCTTAGATTGGTAGAAATAGCAGTGATCCAGAGATGGGCACCAAAAAACAGTCGGGTGTGTTTGTGCGTCTGGGGGCCTGAGAATGTGGCTTGGTGGAAGAGGCCTTGCAAAAACATTTGGATGACTTAGCTTTGGGAAGGTGGTGTGTATAAATATGTAATGGCAAAGCCTCTGAGGCCTTTTGGAAGTTTTAAATTGGAGATGCCAAGTGTCCTTTGTACCAATATTGATTTTCCTCGGGAGCAGAGATGACATGATGGAAGGCAGTTCATAGCTTCTTGGCCTTCCTCTGCTGGAAGACAACTGCCCCCCACTGATGGGCAGTAAGCAGCTGCCAACGCTTGCTGCTCCCCTCCTGATTTCCTGCTGTTTCACTGCAGAAAGTAGCAGTAGTGGGAGAAAGATACCCAGTGGTAACCCTGCCTTCACAACCTAGAATCGCCATGAAGAGGGAAAATGGCTGAAAGCTGGAAAAGGGGAAAACCAGTGATGGTTTTAAGGCTAGGAGAAAATGAATTGGCCGGCGAGGTTTTGTGCTACAGGTTGAACCTCCCTGGTCTGGCACCCTCGAGATCTGACTGGTCCCGGATGAGGGTTTTTGCCAGACATGGGGATGTCATATCTGGCCCCCTTGATACCCACTCTCCCCAGGCCTGGACCAGCTGCCAGCCTCCTGGCTGACTCCCCCTTGCCATTAGCCATACTGCCCTGTTAGTCCCCCCACCTCCTTCCCTGCTATGCCAGGCAGCCCAGCTCCCTGCATGGTGGGCTCCTGGCTCCGCTGGGCAGCCCCTCTGTGGAACGCTGACTCCTGGCCCTGCTGGGCAGTCCCTTTGGGTTGTGCCTGGGTGCCCACCAATGCCAGGCTGCCCAGTCGGCTAGTTGCTTCCCCCCGTTTCTGCCTCTATCAAATACAGATAGTCCCTGACTTACGCGAGTTACGTACCAAACACTTGGTTGTAACTCGATCTGTTTGTAAGTCGGATCCCATTCATTTAAATGAGACCGCGCTGTTCATAAGTGCGAATCGCATTCGTAACTCGGGGACCGGCTGTAATGCGCTTAATGGGAAGTTGGTCGTAGGACGAATGGTCGTAAATCGAAGTGTTCATAACTCAGGGAACACCTGTAAAGGCAGCAAGGCGGGGGGAAGAAGAGCGGGTACTTCAAAGTGGCAGTGACACTTAAAGGCTGGGCCAGACCCTGGGCTCCACACGGCGCTGCCGCTTTGAAAAGTTCCGAGCAGCTCGGGTATCCCCAGGCTCCCCATGGTATTTCAAAGCGGCAGTGTCGTGTGGAGCCCGGGATTAGCTGAGGACTCTATAGCTGATCTTGGGCTTCGTGTGGCACTGCCGCTTCGTAACGCCACGGGGAGTCCGGCATCAGGTTCCTCGTGGCATTTCAAAGTGGCAGCGCCACGTGAGACCTGGGATCAGCTGGGCACTCCCCAGCAGACCCTGTGCTCCATGCAGTGCTTTTGCCTTTGAAGTGTAGCAACAGCCCTAGGCGGAGGCAACCTATCCACTAATTGAATAGTCAATTACCTGATACTTAACATCCTTACTTTTCACTCATCCAGATAGTCCTGTTGACTTCAGTGTGGCTCTCTGAGGAGTAAGATGTAGCTCACATTTTGCTTGCACAGTTCTGGTATCTCAAAAATCAGCATTATTTCTGTCATGTTAGCCTCATACTTTGATACATGCATCCTATGCGGCTTGCTGAGCTGGGCAGAGCTTAGTCTGATAGAACTTTGCCGCCTTAAAGGGATTGGGTTCCTCAGGCCTTCGTCTGGCTTTGCAGTTAGCAGTGAGCAGTTTCTCTAATTTCTTTACCTTCCTTGCAGAAGTCCTATAAGAGCAGGTGTTAACAATTTGTTTCTCTTGCCCTCCAGGGAGTGGAGCAACAGCTGTGGTGCAAGCAGCCTATTGTATCCCGAAAAAAGAGAAGGTGGCAATTAAACGGATCAATCTCGAGAAATGTCAGACCAGCATGGATGAACTCCTGGTACACACTTGTATACATTTTGTTTGGGAAAACTCTACTCAATTTAGCATAGTCTGCTGCCCACCTCTCGAGTGTCTTTAAATACAGGCAGTCCCCGAGTTACGTGGATCCGACTTATGTCGGATCCGCAGTTACGAACGGGGATTTCTCACCCCGGAGAACTAGAGCAGCGGGACGCCTGGTCCTGCCGTCCGCCTTCTCCGGGGCGAGAAAAGCTGCTCCCCGTCTCCCTGGTCTGCTGGCAGAGCCAGCAGACCAGGGAGACGGGAGCAAAGCGGCGGAGCACCGGGGGCCGGACCCGCGGCCGCTTCCAGATCAGCTGGAAGCGGCGCGGGTCCTGCCGGGTGCTCCGCCGCTCTGTTCAGCATCTCCCTGGTCTGCAGAACAGGGAGACGCTGAGCAAAGCGGCGGGGGACCAGGGGCCGGACCTGCGCCGCTTCCAGATCAGCTGGGAGCGGCGGGGGGA